CTGTTCACATTTGAGCAAATGTATAAGGCTTTTCTGAGGTGGTTATCTCCATCTCAGATCTGAGATGAAGTCTGAGTGGATTAAGAATATCTACAGCAGAGCTGGATTTGGACCCACTCTACCGAATACAGCCTGAGCAAGACAGAGCACCAGAGCAGAGCACCTCATCCGAGTGGCTTTGCTCCTTTGAGTAGGGTACTATCTTGCTTTGTTTGGTGGCTTACAAGGAGGCATTTCTAGGTGCAGAAGCCACTTAGAAAGAGTCAAGATGCTCTCGAGTGAGTGACTGCCAAGGTCAGGGGCAAGCTCTCATTCTCACTGGATCTCACAACCTCTGGGGACCTTCCATTGCACCTGTAGGGCCCGATTGCTCAGCTCTGCTGTTTCCTCTGCAACTCAGGAGCTAGCCTTTCCAATTCTGACAGTTTTCTGGCATTTCAATGGACAGTTAGTAACCACTCTGAGGATAAGGAGGTGCTTCCAGTGTTTTCACATGGAGCCCTTGCTGGCCCCACAGCCCCAAATCATAGGCCTTGAACCTCACTGAGTGGCTCCTGTGGTTTGTCTGCCTGCTGTTGCTGCTAGCTTGGAGACTAAAGCCAGGTGCCGGTGGGGATGACACTGGTGGGGATGGTGGTGGCTCACCATCCTTTGCCAGGATTGCCAGGGTGCAGAAGGAAGGGCAAGCGAGTGATGGGAGGAACATGAGGAAAAGGTAAGAGCTGTCAAAGGTCTCTTCTGCAGTCTTGCTCTGCAGCATCTCCTGGGGCATGACCATATCTCACCTGGAAATGGGAAGTTGTGTGAGGCGTGAGGGTAGAATTGAGACAATGCATGGCAACTCTGGCAGGGCTGGGCCATGTTGCCTTGTTCATGGTTCCACCTCTTACAAGGGAATGGTGGCCTCTACTCCTTAATGGGCTGAAGCAATGCAGAGAGCCACACCTGAAGACCGTGAATGAACCCCTGCCTGGTATTCTACTAGCATGTGACTGGTGTTGACAGAGCCTCCACAGCCGCAGCTGCCCAGGGATCCAAGGGGCATTGGTTCTGGGATCCTCCAAGGATATAAGCCCCTGGATGCTCAAGTCCCTTATGTGAAATGCTGTCGTATTTTCATAAACCCCCACACATCATCCTTTATACTTCAAATCATCTGTAGATTACTTATAATACCCAATATAATGCAAGTGCTGTGTGAACAGTTATGGTTTATTGTTTAGGGAATAAAAACCAGGGGGGAAAAAAACCTGTTCCCATTTAGTAAAAATGCAGTGTTTTGTTCCTCAATATTTTCTACCTGTGGATGTGAATGAACAGCTTCTGACCTGAGGACAGAGACACCAACTGTGTGTAACCTGCAGATGGTAAAGGGCCCAGGGCCCTGGTGAGTAGTGAATGGCTGCCTAGAGCTATGTGAGTAGATAGTCGGGGATGGAGAGCTATGGCATGGGAAGTGAGGGTGCACATGTGTGCCATGTGGCATCTGGGTGAGCAGAGCCTGCTGCGGGGCACTGAGAGGCTGCTGATGCGCTCTTTAATCCACTCAGGTATGTTTTAAAGTAATTTTTATTAGCACCTATTGCACAAAGCACTCGCTTTATAAATGAAAATGACAGGGCCTTCCATGGGGAAGGGCCTTCATTTTATTCATTGCTAAGCGACCCTGATGGCTCTGAGATGAATCACTTTAGGGCATAGCATAGGGACAGGTCCAGCAGGCCCCAGAGAGGGAAAAAGCAGAGGGGGAATGATGGCACAAGTGGCTATTGGGCCCCTGGGATTCCCACACCTGCCCCTGCCCAGCTCCAGTGCTCACAATTTATCACTGACATTTGAGTCACTGGCACTGCTGATCTCAGTGTACTGGTGTTTTTCGAAGCTTGCTACAAGAATGAGTAACCTGTGCACTCAATTTCCAGTGCCAGGTTGTGGTCTTGGGGATCATTCTTAAAAGGGATGAAAGCCCTCACACGGAACTGGGTTTCCAGAGACCAGGTATCACGGCACTTCTAATGATCAAGTCACCACTTGCTCAGGACTTCTTTAAGCAGGCCTCTCCGGCTTTCCTTTAGATATTGTCATCTCAACTGGACTCCGATCCTTAAGTGAAGGCTCTGAAGAGCCCAACCACCTAAAGGCATGCTCATGATGTCTGATACAATGTGAAGTTAAGGAAATGCTCCTGAAAAACTCTGATTCTAGATCACACTCTGCACCAGTGGCTATGATGTCCTGAGCAAGTGTCTTGTCCCTTCCAGTTCCGGGCCCTCATGTACAGACAAGAGGACATCCTTGGAATCTGTTCTGGTGCTAAGAGACTCTGTCTTCTAAGTAATCATGAGAAAGGGTCTCTTACTGGGTGCTGTTTCCTCAGTGTGGCACATCAGTCCTCAGCATGGGCATTGTTGGACAAAAGAGGAAACCGAGCCTCTCCAGAGACCATAGTGATGGCTCTGGCATCAGGCCCCAAGTGCATATGGGCTCGCGTTTCTAGAACTGCAAAGTGGCTGCTCACATCATGGATCAAGTTATTCTCCCTTTCTTATCTCATTTCCCTGTGTGAATCCTATGAAGACATCAAGAGCTAGGTGGTGCCTTGGGCTCTCTGATGGCAGAGAAGGTCCACTTCCCACACAGTGCCAGTGGGCCGGAGCCAGGAAGTCAATTTAGACCTGGAAACTAACAAAAGCAGAAGGAAGTCTTGGGGAGGAGAGGGCACAGATCCTGTATCCTACTGATGCTTGTTCTGACAGATACTCTTCATGTGGCAGCCATAGGTTGGAGCAAGAGGCCTGCCCCCACCTTGCTGTGTATTTGAGCACATTCTGTGACTTCCTTAGGTCTCTGCCCTCTCACAGGGTAACTTTAGGTAACAGTTAATTATGCATCATGAAAGGTTGAGAGGAATGATTGAGAAACCAGGCCCCAGAATCACTTATGCCCCTGGCACAAGTATGGCAAGTATTGTTCAGGTTAGCAAATGCATGGTATCCACCAGTCATAGGGCTAAACAGTTGTCTGGAAACAGCCCAAGACTTCAACAGAAATGACTGCCAAAAGAGGAATGGCTAATCGCACTATGTGTTTGCACTCAAGTCACCCACCGCTGGGATCTCAGCAAGGGAGCCCCAGGACCCCAGGCAGGCTTTAGGCTCCAAGCATAGGGTATGGCTTCCCTAATTCACTTGAAAATCCAAGGGCAAAGTGCACATTAATAACTCAGAAGATGCAAGAAGCGATTAAAGTCATTGCTTCCCTTCGGAAAGCAGCTCCCCCACCCCTCCCTGATAATGGCCACCCCTCATCAAATATTTATCCCAGCACTCACAGTCCTCCAGCAGCCTCCAGCATCTTGCCAGAGACCAAATCTGATTATGAAAACTGGTCATGAGTGAAGCAGGCAGACTACAAAGCGCCTGCGATGGGAAGGGGACATCAAAGCCCCAGATTCTCCCTTAAAGGTCGGCTTCCCAAAACAGAGGCCTCCTGCTGGGCCAAGCCTGGAAGGGAGCTGGAGAAACCAGCTCTCTGTGTGCCTCCCAGAGTCGGGGTAGCTCCTGCTTCTTTCTTTCCTTGGCAGTGGAGCTGGGGCAGAAGGCAAGGCACAAGCCCAGGGCCAGAGGGCTGACCCAAAGGCCAGGGTTGATGAAAAGTAAATAAATCCCTTGCCTGGCTCAGAGTGTGACTCCCTTCACTTTCAAGGGAGGCCCTGGCATTTCATTAGTGGCCTCTTTGAAGTCTGCCCTTTGCAAAACAAAGAAGGGAGAAAGGAATGGCAGCTGATACAGAAGTCTTCCTGTCCAGGCCGGCGTATCTTAGAGATAGTGAGGTCTGTTTCCAGCCAAGTGAATACCGCCAAAAAGCAAGTCACAGGCAATTTTGCTTTCCCAGTGTATGCAGTTGTTATTTTTATGCTATATTATCATCTATTAAGTATGCAGAAGTGTTATATTTAAGAAACTCTGTACTTGACCTTAATTAGAAAATATCGCTAGGTCAGCAGCTCAGGAGGCTGAAACCTGAGGATTCTGGTTTGAAGCCAGCCCAGGCAGGAAAGTCAAGAGATTCTTATCTTTAATTAACCATAAAAAAAGCTAGAAGTGGAGGTGTGGCTTTAGTGGTAGAGTTCCAACCTTGAGCAAAAACACTAAGGTACACAGACCAGTAATACAGGTCTTGAGTTCAAGCCCCACTGCTAGTCCATGCATGTGCATGCACGCCTGTGTGCACATACACACACACACACAACTATACCACACCACACCACACAGAATTGCTAAATTGGGCACTAGAGCTTATGCTTGTAATCATAGCTATTCAGGAGGCCAAGACCTGAAGGATTGCAGTTCAAAGCCAGGCCAGGCAGAAATGTGTTTGTGAGATGACTTCTCCATTTAACCAACAAAAAGCCAGGCTAGAGGCTTGGCTCAAGTGGTACAGTACCAGCCATGAGAGAGCAAGCCAAGTGAGAGAACAAGAGGCCTTGAGTTGCAAAGGAAAGAAGGAAGGAAGGAAGGAAGGAAGGAAGGAAGGAAGGAAGGAAGGAAGGAAGGAAGGGAGGGAGGGAGGGAGGGAGGGAGGGAGGGAGGGAGGGAGGGAGGAAGGGAGGGAAACATTTCTAGAACTTGCAAATGACCATCTTTGCGATTGGGAAAATGAGGCTGGTATGACAGACTTGTTCCACATGGCATTGCCACAAAGCTTCAATTTGTAAAGTATCTTCAAGTTTGAAGTATCTTCAAACTACAATAAAACAGAGCCTACAGAAATGAGGTAAGCCTATATGTTTCCAGTTTCTGATGCCCCTTTGTGTGGCTTCACTCAGTACATGGGTAGAAGAGTCTGTCAGGCAAGAAATCATGCCTGGTGCTTAATGCAACCCAGGGACCAATTAACCACACTGGGAGCCAACCAGCAGAGTGTTTCTAAGAGGAATAGGAGGAAACTCTTATATTACTGCTCTCTGCCCCCTTCCCCCAAATGAAAGACAAATGCTGTGTCAACATTTTATCAAGAGTGAGCCTTTATTCCTGAAAGTCCTAAAACCTACACATTTATCAAAAGGTAACTGATGTTCTAATTCCAAACAATGCCTTTTCTGCTTTCAGCAAATGCTGGCACCATGGCCTGGGTGGGGCGGCGATATCAGAAGCGGCCCTCCACGCCCAGCAGCTGCACCACAGCCTCCTGCACAGCCTGGTGGACACTGCTGACCTCTCTCTGGGACAATGTCCTCTCCATGTGGCGGTAGGTGATTCGGTAACAGTGGCTGGTCCTGAGTGTCCTGGAAAGGGAAAGAGAAGCATGTGGGTGATGACCAATGTGGGCGCCAGGACCAGACCAGACTTCCGGGGCTAGTGAGGCTGAACTTGGGTGCAGCACTGACACCCAGCTCAGTGCAGAAGCATCACTTACCAACAAAGATCCACAGCTTAAAAATGTCAGGGTGGGGTGGGTGTTGGTTCAGGGAACCATTAGCTTGGATAATGGAGACTGCTGGCTGGCCCCACTGGGCATCACAGTGCTCAAGGAGCTTCCCATAGATTTGATGTCCTTAGTTAGGGAGTCTTTTTGTATTGTCTTTTAAGGAGTTGCACAAACATTTCAGTTGATAAGTATGCTGCATCTTGGTCAGCATAACCCCTTTTATCGTATTTCCCCGTCTCTCCCAACCCCGCCCATCCCCTCACACTGCCTGGCTCCATTTTCACATGTATTAAGTATTGTGACTGCATTGGACCACCCTTCCCCTCCCCATTGATCCCGTCCCCGCCTCTTGACCTCAAACCTCCCACAACACATGTTCCAGCTTCCTGGTATTCATTTTGTTAAACAGTACGTTAGTTGTCTTAAGGAGTCACAGTCCTGGAATCCTCCCCTGCTGATACCATACTATAGTTAATATATCTGCATGTATAACATGACCCTGTGCATGTTTACAGGTGTAGCATATGAGAGAAAACATATAACCTTTGTCTCTCTGAGTCTGACTTACTTTACTTGGCATAATTTTTTTTTCAGGTTTATGCCCTACAAATGGCATACTATTCTTCTCGATAGATGAACAAAACTTACACACACACACACACATATATATGTATATATATCACACTTTCATGATCTATTTGTCCACTGAAGGCCACTAGGGATGGGGGAGAATCTTATTTGGCAGCCAGAAGGCAGAACCTGGACTTCCTCAGGTGATTCTGATAAGCAGACAAGGTTTGAAACCAATGCCATCACTTCCCTCTACCTTTTCCATGGCGCAAAAAGAGACTGTGTTTGCAGGGCACTTGGCAGCACAGGGGGCCTGAGGCCAGGCTGGGGGAGGGGAATCTCACCCTCAGCATGCCTGTAGGCCACAGGAAACCCTGGAAAGCGTATACCAGAGATGCCGTACACACATGTGTGTCACACATGGGCCATGCGGACAGTGACTTGAGTGTCCTGCTTTATTACAGTGGTGGAGGCCTGGTTGTCATGGTCACCTGGGTAATTCTGGAATGTGTGGGGTGGCAGTGGGAGGGCTGACAATTTGCATGGCAGGGATCTGACACCTGCCTGATCTAGGCACTGACATTTCTCTTCTGAATAATGAAGGCCCAGGCAGTTTCTGAGCCACAGGAACTCCTTGCCAGCTGCTGCAACCTCGGCCTTTGGCCTCAGGTCAAAAAGCTGAAGCAGCTGGACGCCGGTGGCTCACACCTGTAATCCTAGCTACTCAGGAGGCTGAGATCTGAGGATCGCAGTTCAAAGCTAGCCTGGGCAGGAAAGTCTGTGAGACTCTTATCTCCAATAAACCACTAGACACGGGAAGTGGCGATGTGGCTTGAGCTGAGGAGCGCAGGGACAGCACCCAGGCCCTGAGTTCAAGTCCCACGACCAACAACAACAACAAAAAAAGAAGCTGAAGCAGAGCAAGAGACCCAGGCTGAGCTCCTCTGTCTGCCCCCAGCCTGTGCAAGAGAGGCCAGAAATAAGGCAGGCTAGGCCTTGGCTTCTCCAGAGCCCTGTATGAAGAGGTTTCAGGTGGGTTGGCATCTGGGTCACTCCTTCCCTACAGGAACACCTGACAGTCCCATGTTGCCCTCTGAGCCCACAGCCTTCACTTCAGGGCCTCCTCATACTTCCTGAGTCTCACTGGCGTCTCTTTTCCTTCTCTTTCCCAGCCTGGCGTGGCCATCCTGTTCTGCTCTTTCTCACTCTTACCTTGAGCCTGCTTCCAGAAAGCCAGAAGGCCAGGCCCCTGGGATGTAGGAGCTGGGCCGGCAGAAGCCAGCATCTCAGCCCTGTAGCGCCTCAGAGAATCACCCCGAGATGCCCATGACCGCGCTGGCTGGGACAGCCTCATCCCCTCCCAGGCTCAGACACAAACCTGCTCTGGATCCCTCTTTCTTTTCCCCGCCCAGCTCAGGCTATGAACAGACGCTCTTCAAGGGTGGAAGGTCCTGGTCTCCTCAGTCTCAAAGAGTGTTTTACCATGAAAGCCACAGGCTCACAGAGTGGTGACTCTCCCAGCTTATCCATGACTAGGTAAGAAAAAAGGATTTCTTCAATGGAGGGGTGTCCGTGATAGCTAACCCTGCATTTGAATCTTTTTTCTTTCTTTTTGTTGGTACCTGTTTAAACTCAGGGTCTTGAACTCATTGCTTGTTTTTTCTGTTGTTGTTGTTTTTTTTTTTTGCTCAAGGCTAGCACTTTACCACTTGAATAACACCTCTACTTCTAGTTTTTTGCTGGCTAAGAGGCTCATGAACTTTTCTGCTGGAGATGGCTTTGAACAGAGATCCTGAGATCTGCCTCCTGAGTATTTAGGATTACAAATGTGAGCCACTGGCACCTGGCTTTGAAACCTTTTTTTTGGTACTGGGGATCAAACCTGGAAGGTTGAGCCTGCTAGGTGAAGCCTTTTATTAACCCTAATGCTCCTCAGTCTTTCACCTGTCTGACCCCATGCCCCACAGGGAGAGTAGCCCTTCTTATCTACCATACACTGGTCTGAACGCTTTGCACACATTAATTCATTTAAGCAGCAAGCTCCACTGGGTAAACAGCATTATTGTCTTTGTTATGGAGCTGAGGAAAATGGCACAGACAGCATAATGAACTCATCCAAGCTCACATAGCTCATAGGTGCAGTGCTGGATTGAAAGCCAGGCAAAAACCTATAGTGGGGTCTTGAAGTCTTCAAGACCCACTATGTTCAAAACATTAAGCATAGCATTGCCACATGACCCAGCAATTGCTAGGTATGTATATGCATACGCACACACATATGCAAAGTATGTGTATATTGTCAGCATTATACCCACCTTTGGTCCTCAGCTCCTCCCTTACCCGAGTTTCTCTCTGCCCTGGAATTCCCGCTCTGCAGCTGGCCACGTACTCTTTCTCCACCTGAGCACCCACCTACCTCACTTCCTGCCCCCAGACCCTCCTGACACCTGGACAGGAACAGGTGCCATGTGCTCCCTCTTGGGGGAAATATGGTTCCTCTAACAAACCTTGTAATAATCTTTCTCCTATGCCTGCCTACCTCTGTGTGGTCCCTGGGATAGATGTGAAGGATCCTTTCATATAGATGTGTCTATGTACACACACACACACACACACACACACACACACACACACACACACGTATGTATGTATATCCGAAAGAATTGAAAGCAGGTGCCCAAATAAAAACTTGTGCAAGGGGCTGGGAAGATGGCTCAGTGGTAGAGAGCTTGCCTTGCATGCATGAGGCCCTGGGTTCGATTCCTCAGCACCACATAAGCAGAAAAAAAAAGCCAGAAGTGGCGCTGTAGCTCAAGTGGTAGAGTGCTAGCCTTGAGCTGAAGAGCTGAGAGACAGCATCTAGGCCCAGCTGAAAAGCTGAGAGACAGCGCCTAGGCCCAGAGTTCAGGCCCCATGACCGGACCCCCCCCCCCCAAAAAAAAAAAGTGTGCAAGAACTTTCAGGTAACTCTATACACAATCATCAGAAGGTGGAAATACCCATTAACAGCTGAATGGGCATAAAAATGTGGTATTTCCATACACTGGAGCATTATTGGGCCATAAAACAGGAATACAGTACTGAAAAAAATTAGATACAATGTGATGAACTTCAAAACCCTAATAAATAAAGCCAGATACAACAGATCATGTATTACATAATTCTATTTCTAAGAAATCTTCAGAATAGGCAATTTATAGAAAGATTTGTAATTAGCAGGGATGGTGGGAGAAAACAGGAGGCCTTCTTTGGAATGATGACACTGTTTTGGTAGTGCAGTGGTCATGCAGTGTATCCTGTGTGTTACATGACATTCAATTGTACACTTTCAAAATGTATAATTTTATATTACATGAATTTTATTTGAATAAAATTAAACCAGAAACAAAATCTAGGCAATCTGGGTTCAGAGCTGAACAATTGATCATCATACTGAACAGCTACATCAAACACACTTATCTATTCCTCTAACCTCAGTGCTGCTTTTTGGGTCGAGAATGTTCTCCCAAAGGCCCACTTGCTGCAAGCGTTGTCCCCAGCTCAGGGGGAGGAAGTTGGGTCACTGGGGGCATGACCTCAAGGGGGATAATAAACCTCAGCCTCTTCTTCTTCTTCTTCTCTTCATGCCCTGCCACGAGGCAAATGAGCCTCTTGTACCATGTGCTCCGGCCATGAGGTGCTATCAATGCCCAATGCAATAGAGTAAGTAGGTCATGGACTCAAAATTTCTAAACTGTGGTCCCAAATAAGCTTTTCTTTTCTTGTTTTGTGGTACTTGTGGAAGTTGGGGCCTTGCATTTACTAGATAGTTACTTCACTACTTAGACCATGCCTGAACCCATTTTTTTTTCCAAATAGGGTTTCAGCCTCAGACTGCAATCTTCCCACCTATGGCCTCCATATGGCTGTGATTGTAAGCATGAATCAACATTTCCAGCTTGTTTCTTAAGATGGGGGGGAGTCTCACTAACTTTTAGCTGGGCTGGTCTTGAACTTTGATCTCCCTGATCTCTGCCTCTAAGTAGTTGGGATGACAGGCATGGACCACCACACAGGTCTTTCCTGCTTACAGGCCCATTAGAAAGTGGATTGGGGAGTTAGGTAGTTGGGAAAATAAGAGAGTGGAGACTGAGAAATCAGTACAAGCCAGGTGCTGGTGGTTCATCATGCCTGTAATCCTAGCTACTCTGGAAGCTGAGATTTGAAAATCAAGGTTCAAAGATAGCCGAGGAATAAAAGTCTGAGAGACTCTTACTTCCAATTAATCATGTAAAAAGCTGGACGTGG